GTAAGGAAAGGGCTTTTTAGAGAAAATAGAGATTGAGTGCCAAAGTGATGTGAGAATAACAAATGAGAAAGGGTGGGAAACAATGTCTGGAAAAGTAGTGAGCTCCCCATAAACTAAGAGGTCTCCCATCGGTGGTAAACATCCGAGTGTTGTGTTTGTTGTTCTTGTTTGTCTCGATTCTTGTTTTGAGTCGCTATAGATGTGTTTAGGTTGTTTTACTTTGTTTTTTTCCTTTGCTGAGTCGTGGTGTACTGTGGTCAGTCGTAGGCTCAATATCCAGTTAAGAACTCATTCTTGGTTTGCGAAAAAAAATCATTTTGTGCTCAGAGTGCCGTGCTATGCTCAACATGATATGCAAAACAGGATTCGTTTTTTTATAAAACTATAGAAACAAAAGAGGGAAAACATAAACTAACACTCAGCAAGCATAAAAGAGCTTAGACTGAAAGCTTATGATTCAAAAAATCCCATTTTGAAAATTAGTAATCTCGGATCATTTCCAAATAAAAAAACTTCTAGATTCCTGAGGATGATCCTCAAAGGTACAAGAGTTGTGGCCTACCAAAGTCTAGGGAAGCTGAAGCAACTTCAACTGGCTAAGACCGATCCTATTTTCTGCAATAACTAAAAAAGAAGTGGCTAAATCAACCCCAAACAGCATTAACATCAACACTAGAACGGAAACCCAACCATGATTTCCCAACCAATTTTTTGTACCTTTATTCAGAGCATCAGAGGATGCAATATTGGGCTTCCATAACTCAAATTTGGTTCAACTTTCGGCATGACCCCATAAACTGTCTTCTACATCGGTCCGACACGAGCCAGTGTCTTCTACATCGGTCTGCCATAACCATACAGTCTTCTACAACGGTCTGACACGACCATACAGTGTCTCCTATCCATTTTTTATTTTTCAGATTATTTTCTTGTTTTGTTACTCTCTCCAAACTCAAGTTGGTTAGTTCCTATCCCCCTTGAGTTTGCGGGGGCTGTTAAAACCTACCATCACCTACTCCACCTACTACACCTACCACCACCTACTACCACCTACTACACACCTACCACTACCACCTACTCCACTACATCTCCTATATAAGGAGCCACTCACTATTTGTAATAGATAACATACATCAATCAATAATACATCAATTTTAACATAATTCAACTGAACAAGAGCAACCCCAATTTCAAAATGAAAGCATGTGAATACTTGCTGCTGGAGCCACCCACAGTGAATTAACTAAAAGAAAGAATCGATTTCATAACCTCAAAGCCACAGGGCAGTGTAAGAAAAGATGATCCAAAGATTACTCACCCCTTCTACACATGATGCCCCATTGAAGACAAAGATAAGATAACCACAGCTGAAGTGACATCCGGATGCTATTCCTTGAGCTTTCTCCTAAAATCTCCCATAAAGACAAAGAAGACGCTAACAGGCTTCTTGGAAACCTTACTATTCCCACCCAAGCTTCCATCAATAACCTTAAACATCACTCTTGTCCAAACTTCGTCCCCTCTTCAAATGACTACCACAGCTCACTCAGCAACGAAGCCTCCTTATCCTTCCTGGAGGACAATAAACTTCAACTTCTTTGTAATCTTCTACCTCTCACCAATCTCCTGCTTCACTGGATAAATAACCTTATCTCCACCAGCCAACTCAATCTCCTTTGTAACCACTTGTTCAATCTAATCATGACTAAGGGAATCAGCATTATCATTTTTTAAAATAAATTCCTCAAAATTGTCATTTAAGTCAATCAATTTATTAAAAATTAATAATCCATTAGCATCAAAATCAAAGGAGAATTCAACCAAAGGCCTTTTATTGATGACATACACATTATCCACATCGCCAAAGGAATCGGGTCCAAAATAACGAACTACAACTATTAATGTCCAACCCAGAACAAATAAGCACACTTGGACCATGCTCAGTCCAACCCTTTTTCTTCTTACCATTACTGACCGACATCAGCAGAAAAATCCATCCCTTTAGCTTAAACCACTTCGACATAAACTCCACGATCAATAACACCTTCCATATCTTACATCGGGACTAAATCAGCCATGCCTTCTTTAACACTTACCATCCCTTCCTCAAAATCGTCTACTCGTTGCAACCACTTCCTTCAACAACTACTTATTTTTGGACAACATATGCTCAGGATAATCCTTGGACTGCATCACAATTAAAAACTATCTCAATCTTCTCCTCAACTATGAAGCACCGATACTTCAAAACAAGTGTTGTAGGGGTGTCAGACACGGGGACATGTATGGGACACGCAACATGGTGTGTACCTTTATTTAATTAATTTGTTTTTAGGGGACACCCAAGAGACACACCAGTGACACAAAAGATAAAACATACCAGGAAATATCATGTAGATCAAAAGAAGTCAGCGAGTGATGAAAGTGTACAACAAAGCATAAAGTACACCTAATTTAGATTCCTAATAGACTCACACAAAATTACCCAACAAATCAGACTAAATGTTATTAGAAGGTTTCCAACACATCGGTAGACAACATTAACTAGGTTCTCTTTGCTTTCTTATGTTTTCTGAAAAGACGCACCAAGCAATACAACAATTTATAATTTCATACTTCTACCACAAGAAGGAAAACCAGCTATGCACACAACTAACTGACCATTAAAAAACAGGTTGAAAAGTTTTCAATACAATATCACATGGTTACCACCTAAACAATAACTGTTCTGACAGGCAAAAGTAGAAAGTTTGATCACCAGAATAATAAATATGCAGATTAAAAATACAATTCTAAATGTCACAAGTCTAATAGGCAGCAAACTTCTCCCAGCAAACCTATCTTTTAGAAACTTAGCACCACCAGCAGTTGTACAGAACAATAGAAAATATCATGTAGAAGGCTGGGATCAGACAAGAACCTCGGCTGCCAAGTAACAAATAGAAGCACCAGTAACATTCCAGTCAAAAACCTCATCACCAGATCCATCCTTCATCCCTTGCCGTAAAAGAGCCAGTGAAGCTAATCCATCAGCAAAGCAAAATCCTGGTGATAATCTGAAGAAGTTCTGAAAAGTTCATGACAAATGCCAGAAAAGATAACTTTGTCACATCAGCTTGCACTCATGCAGTATATCCAAGAACAAATGTTAATTGAAAGTTATTACATGAAATTATTGCACATTGTAAAACTTATGATCCAAATGCTCCGAGTAATACAAGGTAGGATGACCACCAAAATAATGCCGCTACGATTAAAATACTGGGCACCACATCTTGTCCTCGACTCATTCCAACGCTATAAGATCCTCTGGTCATGCCTCAGTCTAAAGGGCTATAGGGCTTTTGTGCATTATTAAGAAATGTGACTCTCCTGTTATTTCATTGTGTGCTTACTCCCTCTCTACGCTATCAAATATCGTAGTATATAACGTAAGACTTTGCTTGCTCCAAGCCCTCCTGTCAAGGAAGGGCAGCTACGTGGGAATGAAGAATGAAATTCCAAGGGAGGAGATGAGAAGGAAGACACATAGTTGTTGAATGTGAATCACTACATTAGGTGGAATTTGACAAGCTCCTAAAGGCCAGTTAGCTCTTAGAATCTTAGGGTTTTCCGTAACGTAAGGTCGAGGTTATTAACTATTTTATTTTTATGTTACAAATGCATTTATATTATATTGAAAAATAGTAAGACATATTTTTCACATTCTATATATTGGAAAAAAGTGTGAACAAAAGCCCTAGTATTCTTCTATTTTAAAAATCTCTATTTACAAGCAAATTGGAAGTTTTAGGCTCAGGGTTCCTAAAATTAAAAAGCCAAAAGGAGGAAGGGATAATAGGTAAATCAATATTTTAAAATTGGTTCCCTAGTTATTTTCTTCAAACATGCAATATGCTTGATGTGTTTATAAGTGATGACAATTGAAGCAAAAAAGAAAAAATCCGTGCCCCAAAATGTCTGAAGTGTGACCAATCCTAACTTTATTTTTTTTTTAAATAAGAAGAAAAATTCATAAGAAATGCAAAACTTGCAGAGTTTCCTAGTATGGTCGCTGTATTTAGTAATTCTTACAAAGTGAAACGACAAAAAGTATACCAACCTTCAAAAAAGAATTTGCACCTGCAGTTGTATCCACAAGCCCCATAATAAATGATACAGCCATAAGAATGAGCCCAGTGAAAAAGTGAACCAAGAGGACCACATTCTGTATGTGGAGTAGAAATATCATCATTGACACAAAAGGACTTCTTAATGCAAAAGAAGTCAGAACTAAGGAAGAGATGTAGCCATACCTGTGCCATTGTGTGTTCAGAAAAGAAAAACGTGAGGCAATACGTTGATGATGCAATTGCAAGTCCATATTCCAAAAATATGATGATTGTTGGTAAGAAAGAACCCATTCCAATAAACTGATCCAGATCTACAAAGCAAATCAAATTCGTTTGTTCAGAGGTTAGAAAATAAAATAACAAGAAACCAAACCAAACCAAGCCTTAAAAAAAATAATAAGATTCATTTACCATGAAAATGCAATAAAGAAAAGAGTCAACAATATGAGGACAAAGGCATGTGGATTCCATTTCCTTGTAATTTGAAGTTCAAAAGAGGGATTGAAAATCTTGCTTACACCCAAAATTGTAACTTTAAGAAGCTTTGTGGCTATGTAGACATAATTGTTCAGATCCATAGCTTTATGATGTGGATATAATTGTCCAAATTTCAAAATATGATATAGCCGTGGATTATCAACAACTATGCTAAAAAAGTACGCCAAAAAAAATGAAACATTAGAAAGATTGGAAAATTAACACATATCAGGTGGTAGATCAGTTCACTTTAAGCATCCTCAATATAATTAGAAAAGAATTAGGGTTAGATCTGAAGCCTGATTGGTGATCTTTCAAATCTAAAGCTTTGATTGGTGATCTTTCAAATTCAAATTAGGAAGGAATTAGGGTTAGATCTAAAGCTCTGATCTAAATAATGCAAATAAAATAGTAATCAGATTCAAGTATCAAGAGAGAGAACAAAACCCCAACCTAGGGGTAACCCTAGGGTTAGAGAGAAAACCAGAGCACTTAGCTCAATCAATTTCTATATTCTTCAATTAAAATCAATGACAATTGAGATTACATCATCTGTTTATAGACTAAGACTATTAACAACCACAACTAATAGGACACTTCCAACTAGTCGGACACTTAACAGACAAAGCTAATGGCACTTAAGCATAAGACTCATTTTTGTTGATAGTGACGTTTATTTTACTACATCATTATTATTAAAAATTTCTATTGGGCATGATATACAATAAAATGTGCAAATGATCTAGATTTAAGTTAAAATCGAAATAAGCCAAAATAAATCAAAACTTACCCTAGGTAATTAGAAACTAAAATCTAATGACGTACCAAAGATGTAAAAGAGAACTATTGCAAGAGATGTAGGAATTAAGAAGCTGACGCAGTCCCATATGTATGTCGAAGCCCAGTATGACCATATAGATACCTGTGTAGAATCAATCACTTATAAAGAAATATTACCAATACAAAATTTATCAAACAAATGAAGAAACCATTTTTCTCTTGGAAGAACAAACTCACTCCACTAATCAACTGTTGGTGCTTAGCTTTTACTTCACGCTCCTGCATCAACAAATTAAATGATTACATTCTTCACATCAATATCCTAATATGACTATTTGCCAACACCGCAATATACAAAGTAAATTACACAATTGTATATACATACTAGGCTTTCTCCTATGGTACTTGCCTAGGAGCGAGAACTCCAGTTCAATATACACATGCCACCAAAACAATTAGAAAATGGTTTATCAATTAATAACTAATTAATTGTATTATTATATTCCTTCTTTTTTGTTAAATTACATGTTGAGACCTTCCTAATCAATCTTGTTAGCTTTAATTACATGTAAAGTAAGCCCTCATTATTTTCGAACTAGTTTGGTTGGAACCCAAGCAAAACCCTAAGGCTGTGTTTGGTGTGGAGTTCAAATCAAGACTCCACACCCATATTTGAGTATGATGTTTGGTTATAACTTTAAAAATTAATTCCACACCACTTTTGAAAACTCGTTTCAGGCAATATTTGAATTTTGAAATTTGGCCTAACCAGTCGTCCTCTTGGACGTCCGGTCGATTGACCAGAACAATGCAAATTTTATTTTATTTTTTTGGCAATTGGCTCCTATTATTTTTTATATATTAAATAAAAAATAATTTCCGAATTTTTTTAAATTTTTTATGAGTTTTGAATAGAATTTTGGGTTGTGGGTTTGGTTATGAGTTGTAAGTTTTTTAATCAAATATCATATGTCACATCAATTATTTCAAACTCAATTCAAAACTCTTAACCAAACAAATTTTCCACACTCAAATTATAATTTCAAAACTCACAAACTCAAAATACAACTCTATTCTCAAATCATAATTCTAAAACTTTACCAAACGCAACCTAAGTTTTCCCCCAAAAATTTCACCTTTTGTTTTGAAAAAGGACTGACTAAGGTTTCCCCATTTTTCTCCCACACGTGGTCGGCCAAAGAGGCCTTTGGCCAAGATAGTTTGTGTTATATATATTTTTTTTTTGATAAATAAATGGACTTTATTAGAAAAGCATCAAGATGATGCAAAAAATACAAAAACCACCCACAAAGGGCCAAACAAAACTATCTAAGCAAATCCTCCACAAAATCTATAAAAACCAAATCACTTGGATCAACCGAACTCGTAACCCAACTATGCAGTACCATCAACAACTGACTCTCTAACCATAAAACGAAATGGCACTCATTCTGAAAAACACGCCTATTTCGCTCCAGCCACACCAATCAAAGAAAACAATGGGAAGTAAGAACCCAAGCCTTCCAACGCCACTTCCCCACCCCAACTTTGTACCACACCCAACACAGACCCCGGTTGCACCCAAACAAAGCCACAATAGAATTCCAAAGTCGAGACCCAACTAGGCAATGTAAAAGCAAGTGATCCACCATTTTCCCATCCCTACAGCACGTGCAACACCAGTTTGCTAGAACATGCCCCCGCCGGCTCAAGTTATCAATAGTCAAAATCTTTCCCAAAGCAGCTGTCCAAACAAAGAAAGCCACCTTAGATGGTGACCCGTCGCCCAAATGCTCTTCCAAGGAAACACTACCCCACTCCTCCCCTCAAGCATACCATAAAAAGAAAACACTGAAAACACCCCTTTAGATCTCGAACAATCCCACACCAAGGAGTCCTCCCTATCCCTCCCATCTTTCACACTAAATAAAAAGCCCAGCAAGTCCACCAGTTGGTCCAATTCCCAATCTTGCACATCACGACGAAAGTGAACATTCCAAACAAACATCTGCCTCTGCCTAACTCCAACAGATGCCACCAGCTCCTCCTCATTTATAACAATAGCATAAACCATAGGAAACATGCTCGCCAAAGGCACCTTGCTACACCACCGATCCTGTCAAAAGCGAGTCCTATCCCCCACCCCCACCCCCACCTTAATCCGGGTCCTATCCCAAAACTCCATCCACCCCAATCAAATACTGTAGACACCCCATTTTTGACTGCCCTTAAGACTTGGGCACTACTGATTGCTTACTTAGTGATGCAGGATATGCTATGCAAAGGGTCGATTTCTTTGGCAAGGAGAACGTCAAATCCAAACCTCACACCCCTTTTTTGGACCAAAACTATTTTGAATAGATTTTAGACCTTGAAACCCTCTCTTTCAAAATAGTTTTTGAAAAATGTTTCTATGATGTTCCGACGCTCACATTTCGTTAAACGTTGCGCTTTTCGGTAAACTGAGTAAGGACAAAGTAGAAATGAATGAAAGAGAGATGAAATCTTTGAAAAATCTTTCAAAACACCTTGTTTAGGGGTTTGGAGTTGAAGAAAAGAGAAAAAGAGGGAAGAAACCAAGTTGGGGAAGAATATGGGCATGAACCGTTAAGAGAGAGTCGCGCGTCCCTCGCTAAATCAAGCCTATCCTTTTGAATACTTGGATTTCAGCCATGAGGCCACCACCGTTGGAAAGCTTACTTCTGGGGCTTCATTTTTCACTTAAGAATCTCCTAAAGCCGTGTCCGGATGAGGGAGATATAGCTGATTGAAATTAGGCATCAATCCGATTGGACCGAAACTGAGTAGTCTTCACTAAAAGAGGGATATCTCTTAGCACACTTCAAATTTTGATGCAAGGCTGCCACCATTGGAAAGCTTACTTCCGGGCTTCAGTTTAGGCTTAAGAATAGCCTAAAAAGGCATCCAGATGAAGGAGTAATGCTTGCTTCAAGTCGGGGACTAGGACTAATTTTTGCTGCAAACCACTAAGGGAGTGTGCCGACCACAAATGGAGCACATTTTTCACTTAAGAATCTCCTAAAGCCGTGTCCGGATGAGGGAGATATAGCTGATTGAAATTAGGCATCAATCCGGTTGGACCGAAACTGAGTAGTCTTCACTAAAAGAGGGATATCTCTTAGCACACTTCAAATTTTGATGCAAGGCTGCCACCATTGGAAAGCTTACTTCCGGGGCTTCAGTTTAGGCTTAAGAATAGCCTAAAAAGGCATCCAGATGAAGGAGTAATGCTTGCTTCAAGTTGGGGACCAGGACTAATTTTTGCTGCAAACCACTAAGGGAGTGTGCCGACCACAAATGGAGCATGCCGACCATATGCCGACCAAAAATGATCCTTGCAGACCAGAAAAAGTGGTCGGTCGACCAGTTGAGGTGGTCAGTCGACCAGAAATTTCCAGAAAGCCCAGAATCTGCAGATATTTTGCTCCAGCTGTTCTAGACTGTCCTGGATATTTCTGAATTGAGATATTTCGACCAATGTTCATATATTGCTATATATTGAGCTATATCTCATCACGTTGAAGGGTTGGAAAGTTTAGGGAGCCTCTCTCTCTAAAGTCTCTCTCTAGAAAAGAGCAAAAATTCCAGCCCCTCCCTTTAGAAGCCTCTCTCTCTTCTTGTTTTGAGCCTTAAGCTTAGAATCCTCTATACTTTTGCAAAGAGACCCTTGATCAAACTTAACCACCATTGGGCTGAGGTTCTTTGAGGATCATTTGGAGCTCCTAAGGTGGTTTTAGCTCAGAATTTGGACCTGTTTTGCAGCCGTGCTTCAAGGGTAAGAGCTCTCTCTTTTTTAGCTTATTTTGCATGTTTGCTTCACCATCCTTTTTCCATTGTTTTGGACTATTTTGGGGCTGGTTTTGAACTGTTAAAAACTCTATAAAAGTGTTGGTTTGTGCCTTGTTTGGCTAGAGGGTGTTTCCTCCCTTTTGCTCCTTGGCTTGTAAAGCCTTTTGAGCTATCTTTCAAGCTTTTGAAACAACTTCTTTTTGGCCTCAAAACCACTGAATTCCAAAGGAATTTCAGTGGTAGAAAACTTGTTTTGAGGGCCAAAATAGGAGGGAGTGGTCCCCTCTCCTCTTGTCTTGCTTGCATGTGTTGATGGCCAACCGAAAGAGCATGTGTTTCTACTTCTTAGTGGCTTTGTTTAGGCTCATTTTTGTGACTTTTAAACCTGCCAGAACTCTGTTTTTGGCTTGTTTGATCATTGGTTGCATGCTTCATGCACTTGTAGTGTAAATCCTCTTTGCTTGCCTTGTTAGCCTCATGTTTGAGCTTGTTATTTTAGCATGTGTTGGCTTAGTCTCAACCTATTTTTGGCCCTATTTCAGCATGGCATACCTCTTTTTTGGCTTGGTTGAGTCACCCCATGCATGCTTTCTACACTTGTAGTGTAATCTTGCAATTTAGCCTTGTGTGCTCAATGCTTTGATTCATCATGCTAGCCTAGTTTGGTTCTATCTCAGCATGTTTTTGGTGTTGTTTTTCCATGATATAGGTATGTCTAGGGTTGGTTTGATTGCCTCTTACATGCTTCATACCCTTGTAGTGCAATCCTCCCTATAGCCTTAACATGCATCATGCTTTGGACCTCCATTTTAGCATGTTTTTGGCTCCACTCCAGCAAGCTTTTACTCATGTTTTGCCATGCTTAAGCTCTGTTTTAAGTGTTTTGGGTCATGCATGCCTTGCTTTGTATAGCCTTAGTGCAATCTTGCTCACTAGCTTGGTGTTTTGAGTCCACTAGCATGCATTGCTTGGGCTATTTGCATGATTTAGCATCATTTGATATATGATTTCAGTGCATGTAGTGTGGTCATACTCTCCCATACTTCACTCTTTCAATGCTTTTGGAGGATTATGCTTTATGTCTCAATCATGAGCCAATTGGCATGCGTGCATGCCTAAGCTTTTGGGCTATCTTCCCAATGTGTTTTGGGTCTTATTTTTCCATAATACAACTCTGTTTTTGGCTGGTTTGGCCACCTGTGGTTTGCATCTTGTACTTGTAGAGCAAATCTCACTTACTAGCCTTACATGCTTGTTGTTTTAATTCATTATCCTAGCATGTGTTGGCTTTACTACAACATGTTTTCGGCCTTGATTTGACATGCTCTAGGACTGTTTTAGGTTGTCTTGGCCATATGGTTCATGTATCGCATAGCTGTAGTGCTATGGGCTTGACTAGCCTTGTGTTTTGATGCCTGTAGCATGCTTTGTTTGAGATGTTTGCTTGTCATGGCATCATTTAACATGTT